GTTTTTGACTGTCATCATTGGGGAAGATGGAACGGCCCATGATGTAAAGTCTACCTATATACAGGCAAGCTTTTGGAGTATAATGTAATATAGAGATATGCAACCTCCACCTTTATCCCAAGGCTTTCGTGTTTTGTATTTTGCATAAATGATGTAGTCAAGTCATAAAACTGATGTTTAACATAAACAAAATTAATATCCATATTTAACTCGTGTGATTTTCTTGCATGGAATTTTGTTGAGGAAAAATTTAATTGAGCTTCCGCATGCTATTACCGATTAAGGAATATAATTACAAAGGACACGTGTCGCGAGTGACGTTTTGAGGCGTCACAGATGAGAATCTGGTGTTTGGTGTGAGTTTCCGGGCAATGGACACATCGTTACTGGCTTGTGTTTGGTTTTTTCCGGGAAGCTTTTTGCTTCCGATATCTGAAGTTCCAGAGCTCCCAGATCATGCTAAGATGTTATGCACTTGTCCGACACTTGGGAGATGCACTGTATGCATGACCATTTTTGCAAAAGCTTTTTAAATTAATTCAGCATCTTATAAGGCATGTCAAATGCATTGACCTCTTATTTAAGGATCTCTCATAGGGATATCGATTTTTTTTTATTAATGGGTAATGTTATATTTTTTTTTTGGAGTCTAATGTTATATTTTAAATGGAAATATGTAAAATTCAGCTTTTCCGACCTTTATTGGACGAGCCTTCGTGTATTTGTAATAGCTCAGTTGTCGAGTGATATGAAAGGATGGTCAAATACGAACACAAGGATCTTTGATATCTTCAAATTACCCTTTATATCCTCAATTTCAGCACTGTCTTTTAAGACCAAATATCGAAATTTTTATTCTCTTAATCGTCAGTCGTTTGTCTAAGGTATACATAAGGAGTACGATCATCGCTTTTGATCATCGAGTTATCAGATACTATAGTGCAATCAATGGCAATGCCCGAAATCCATCTACTTGAACCCTTGGGAATTTTCGGGACCGCAAAAAATAAGTAGAATACTCAATAGTATCAACCCATTTTATTAAAGAGCAAAATTGATGCATGAAAATCTCTGACGCATGCAACTCATCTCTCTACTATTCCCTCTTATTCTTGCTTCCTCTCCTCTCATAGAGACTCGCAACGCGCATCAATCAATGGTTACACATGCATACACAATTTGCCCCTGGCACAAACCCATTTTGGCTCCTTTGGATGGCCATAGACATAGACGCCATCGTGACTGTTGGCGCAACTAGTTGAGGTATTAGAGGTTTTTTTTTACGTAAGGGTAAGTTTAAAATTCGAACTCCTATGTTAAGCGTACTCGTGTGAGAGCGCTGCTGGGACGGGTGACATCCACGAAAAGTGTCCATCTATATATCAAAGGACAAACCGTGAGACTCGATATGAGACAAGCCAAAGCAAACAACTTCGGGTGAATTAATCCAGGCTTGTCACACTTTCAGAGCTCAGATCATGCTATTGAGCATCCACTTTGATTGGCAAGGCTACTGATGATCTACTTAATATTTCTCAGCAAAGCAACATGCACGATATGTTGTATTTCCTATTTGCACGGTTACGTTGTTCTCACTTGAGCCATTCTATCAAAGAAATATCGTCGAATGTTGGGGAAAAGTGCCAAAAAAGTCTTAAACCTTTTGCATTAGTGCCAATTTAGTCCTAAACCATTTGCATTGGTGCCAATTTAGTCCTAAACCTTTTTTTGGTGTCAATTCAGTCCTAAACCTTTTGTTTTTGTGCCAATTTAGTCCTTCCGGCCAATTTTGATCGGAATTTGCCGACGTGGACGCCTGCCGGCCGGTTACCGGCGCCGACGTGGCACTGACGTGGACAACTTTAATAATATTTTAATATTTTTTTGAATTATTATTTTTTTTCCTTTTTTTTCCACTTTTTTTTTTGGGTCTCTCCTCCTTCCTTTGGCTGGTCGCCAGAGGCTGGCGAGCTCGACCTCGCCGGCCACTGGCGAGGCTCGCCCTCACCGGCCACTGGCGAGGGCGAGCCTCGACCTTGCCAGATCCGGCGAGGGCGAGCCTCGACCTCACCAGATCCGGCGAGGTCGGGCCTCGCCATGGTCGGGCGAGGTTGGGCCTCGCGGGGTGAGCCTCACTCGCCATCCGGCGAGGTCGGCCTCGCCGACCATGGCGAGGCCCGCCTCGCGGATCGGCGAGGTCGAGCCTCGCGAGCCGCAGGCGAGGCCCGACCTCGCCGAGATCCGGCAAGGTCGGGCCTTGCCCGACCATGGCGAGGCTCGAGCCCTCGCCGGAGGCCGTGGCGAGGGCGAGCCTCGCCATGGTCGGGCGAGGCCCGACCTCGCCGGATCCGGCGAGGTCGAGCCTCGCCCAGCCTCCGGCAAGGTCGATCCTCGCTCGACCAAGGCCAGGCTCGCCCTCGCCGGGCGAGGCCGCCCTTGCCAGTGGGCTGTGAGGGCGAGCCTCGCCAGTGGCCAGCGAGGTCGAGCTCGCCGGCCTCTGGCCGGTCGCCGGACCGGCGATCGGCCAGAGGAAGGAGGAGAGACCCAAAAAAAAAGTGGAAAAAAAAAGAAAAAAAAAAAAATAAAATTCAAAAAAATATTAAAATATTATTAAAGTTGTCAACGTCAGCGCCATGTCGGCGCCGGTGACCGGCCGCTGGCCGGCAGGCGACCACGTCAGCAAATTCCGGTCAAAATTGGCCGGAAGGACTAAATTGGCACAAAAACAAAAGGTTTAGGACTGAATTGGCATCAATTTAAAAGGTTTAGGACTGAATTGGCACCAAAAAAAGGTTTAGGACTAAATTGGCACCAATACAAAAGGTTTAGGACTGAATTGGCACCAAAAAAAGGTTTAGGACTAAATTGGCACTAATGCAAAAAGTTTAGGACTTTTTTGGCACCTTTCCCTCGAATGTTGTCTTTGTTAAAATTATTTGTTGGGATAATAACCTTGAATTTTTGTCCGTTTTATAGGGGAGCACCTCAATTTTTTTTTATTCAATCGATTTCAACTTCTCTGATGTGGCTCCATATGAGGCCTCTGTTTAAATCACGGATGAAAAATGCCATCGTGACACTACCGTTGTTAAATAGCCATTATCTTTTGAGACGATGCCACGTCAATTTTAAATAGCCACTATTAATATGACTAATTTCATAGTAAAGTAACTACAAATTCTAGTTCTAGTGCGAGTTTGCCCTTTTAACATTAGTGGAGCTCGGGGGAATATAACGTTTCATTGAGCCAAGTTTAAGCTTGACGATCGAAATGGAGTAGAAGTGAGGCTCCACCGTCGGAGGCGATTAGATTGTCTCGACACACAGGTTGACATCATTTTTCACTGACGAAAGAGCTCAATCTCATGGGGGCATATCCATTACGCACACACGAACAAAGCAAGTGCTGAAAAATAAGTCAATAGCTTGTGACGGTTCGACACGTCTTATTGAGAACAAGATCGATTCACTCTACAATCTCCGTTGCCTCACCTTGCGTTCGGAACACATACACAGCTGTTGTTTTTAAAGATAGGGTGATACCCGATATCGCACTTCTCTGGAATACAAAAGCCGTCCGGGTAGACCTGGCGCCCTGATGGAACACAGAAACATTCGGCATTTTTAATGACCGGATGATACCCGACAGGACACACTTGACCTCTGCCCGTGATGTCTAGATGACACGCTACTCTTTCTTCTGCAGCTTGTGAGACAGCAAGACCTTAGAAAAGGAAAGTTCGGAAAATTCATCAGTGCAGTTCTACAATTACTAATAATAATAATAATAATAATAATAATAATAGACGAGAGATGAGAGAAACCTACTAGATGCAATCACCAATAGAATGACCAACGCACTAAGCTTGGCTTGACCCTTCTCCATTTCCAAGTATGTCGGCTTGATTGTGTAAGCTGTGACTGTGCAGAGAGTTTTTTGGGATAATATAGAGGAAATTTGGGCTTGATTATTAGAGACAATTGTGGAAGATATGTGTCATGAGTCCCCTCGAAGTGGGTTTATATAGATGTCTAAAGCATGGTATTATTGAAAAGTGAGTAAATGCAAGATCAAAAATTGAATGAATAGTAGCTAACTTGCTACATATCATATTAAGCTGCTGATATAAATTGTTACATATTCTCGATCGAAATCTGCACTTGCTTTACTAGGTAAGATACTAAGTACGTACTAGTGGTGTGCAATTTTACAATTCGAGATTCTCTTACCAAAAGTTGAGCAATCCTTGGATTATTCAAGATTCTCCTACCATAATATAAGAAAAGATACCTAACATGTATATATTTTCTCGTTAGATAAATGCTCTCTTTTTTCTCGACCAGATTAAAAATATGCAAAAATTCAATAATACTGCACAAAGTGCAAATTGTGAATATTAAAAAGGGTTAATATTACAAAAAAACACCCCAACTGGTATACCTGTGACAATATTACCCCAGACTAATTTTATGATCACTAAAAATCCTAAACTGGTACACCTGTGATAATTTTACCCTCTACTAGTTTCCGTTAAATTTTATAGTCAAATTTCTTAGTTGGATGACACGTGACAGTTGACGAGTGTACTAGTTTGGGGTTTTACCCTCCATTTGTCACATGTGTACATTCATGGTATTAATCCAATTTAATGAAGGGTAAATTTGTCACAAATGTACCAGTTTGGAATTTTTGGTGGTAAAAAAATTAGTTTAGAGTAAAATTGTGACTGGTTCCCGCAGTATCTTCCTTCCAAAGTAGTATTCCAGCAACAATTCTCAATAACTCGAAGATGGATGCACTCATGAATTCGCAAATTGCGATTTTCCTTTAACTAGGAGATGTGCTGTACAGGCATACAAATAGAAGCGAGGCATAGAGAATGTCTTCACCTTCAATCCTGCATAATATGAAGAACACGGATTTTCGACAAAATCCAACGATATGGTTTAGTATCTCTCTATTCTTGATCCTCTACTGCTGTAGAGTCTCTACAGGACACTTATATTTGTGAACCAATCTCACTCAGCATCGAGTAAATCATACTTCTCTGGTGGTGCATGCCATCTTTTGCGGACTCTGTAGATTCGATGCCTCCAAGTTCAATGAGGCGCGACCCAACTTCCTTTTGCGAACCCTTTGCCTTCATCATCATCTTGACATTCTCGACTGCATCCCAACTACCTTTGGCTGCATACATGTTTGACAATAGTACGTAGGGCCCAACATCTGTTGGTTCGAACTCAAACAACTGCTCGGCCACCATCTCTCTTAGTTCCATGTGAGAATGGGTCCTATGGGCAGAAAGCAGAGCACCCCATAGTGAAGATCCTGCCACTATAGGTACTTCTTTAAACAACTCTCCTGAATCCATCACCAGCCCAGCTCGAGCAAGAAGATAGACCATGCAAGCATAGTGCTCCACCTTAGTTTGGATATTGTAAATCCGAGACATCAGGTTGAAACACCACCAACCTTCCAAAACCATGCCGGAATGTGTGTAGGCAGGTAATATGCTGACAAAGGTAGCATCATTTGGCATTAGACCTCTCTTCTCATCTCTCAAGAACATTTCCAGGGCTTTCTCGCCATGCCTATGTAATCCATACCCGATGATCATAGAATTCCACGAGACAACACTTCTATCAGGCATCTGATCAAACACTTTCCTGGCTAAATCCATAGTGCCACTTTTTGCATACATTGTCAATAGCCCAGTCGAAAGCAGCACTTCGGCTTCAATGTAATTATCCTTCATGTAAGAATAAACTAAGTGGCCTTTATTGAGGTCCCCTGTATTGTCACACGCTGTGAAAGCACTCACAAGAGTAGCCCCGTTGGGTTTAATCTCTTCCTCTTGTAGCATACTATCAAACAAACTCAAACACTCCGTATAACCTTTAACACGTACATAAAGAGCCAACAAGGTATTCCATGAAACTACATTCCAGAAAGGCATCGAATGAAAAAAGCTGCGAGTCTCTGACATGTATCCAATCCTTGCACACCCATCGATCGTACGATTCCACGACATGATGTCCCTAAACGGCGTTCTATCAAACAACCATCGCGCTACGCCTATGTCCCCTCGCGCAATATAACCTACAATCATCGAGTTCCAACTGAAGACGTCCCTTTGAGTCATCTCATCGAAAAGTTCGCTAGCAACATCCACTTCCCCATACTTCACATGACCATCAATCATGGAATTCCAGCTAACCAAATCCAACGCAGGCCCTGCATCAAACACTAAGCGCGCACTCCTGGCTTTTCGAAAAACCGAATACATGCGAATCAACGCATTCCTCACGAATAAATCCGGCTCGAACCCAAGTTTTTACATCCTACCATGAACCTTCTCTCCATCATCAATGACCCAATCCCAACAAACCCTTTCACTACTGTTGGGAAAACTTATTCCACAATTGACATACTCGAAACGTATTTGATCAATGCGGAAACGTGCCCAATGATCATCAACTTGTATCACCGATCGTATAGGCATATCATATAAAGAACATATCCGGTATTGCCACAGATTAAATGTCACTTTGTACTTGAGAGTGATTTTCGATCGTCTTTCGTACCCACTTCCGTTCCGAAGAAAAACCAGAGAAAACGTTACTTTCGAATGGGTGTGTTATTTTGTATATATGAAAAATCATGTTGGTTTTCTAAGGAGGTCTACTATTTATAGTAAGATGCAAATAACTACCTTGTGGGCCTTTGTGGTTCATGGGCCGAGTTTGACCCATCTTGGGCAGCCCACCCATTATGCCTTTTAACTATAATAGGAAACGAATAGTGATTTGGCGCAACATCATTTCCTACCATCTCTTCATAATAAAATCACGTAGCACTACACGCATCATTCATGTGGACATAAGTTCTCATAATAGTATTGCATAGAAAAGCATCGGGCTTTTGGGTACACTTGAAGAACATAGACGCATGAGCAACCGCACGTAAAGAACGGAGCTTCTTCACGGCTCGGCTGGTGGCAAGAGAGTGTTGAGAGAGACGAGTAACAACTAGTTGAGCATGGACATATGGTTGAATTTCTGACGCTATTGCACGTCTCCAGTCTGCGCAGAATCGGATGGGCTAACGTCAATATGCCAACTTCTTCATCGTTTGTGATTTAAATTCGTTGCTTGACAACGTCAGGCCAGAGTTTCGGTGTGGGCTTGGAGAGGTTTTTCCAGGATTTGATGAATTTGTCAAGAGATTGGGATGAGAATCTTGTGTTTGGTGTGAGTTTCCGGGCAACTGACATATTGTTACTGGGTTGTGTTTGGTTTTTCCCGGGAAGCTTTAATTTGTGCTTCCGATTTCTGAAGTTCCTCAGATGCGTTATATGCATGACTACTATTGCAGTAGCTTTTACCTAATTCAACATCTCATAAGGCATGTCAAGTGCATTTACCTCTTATTTATGGATCTCTCATGAGGATACGGATTTTTTTATTAATAGGTAATGTTATATTTTACATGGAAATATGTAAAAATCAGCTTTTCTGACCTTTATTGGATGATTCGTTGTGTATTTGTAAAAGCTTAATTGTCGAGTGATATCAAAGGATGGTCAAATACGAAGACAACCCAAAAAGGATCTTTGATATCTTCAAATTTCCCTTTATTTCCTCAATTTCAGCGCTTTATTTTTCTTGTCAACCTATAGCAAGCGTAGTTAGAATATGCAAACTAAGTTTGAATTTCTTTGCCATCAAATTCGAAGACGTTAGGATATCGAGCGTGTCACTCTTCCGGGACTTTGTCTTCTAAGACCAAATATTAAAATTTTTATTCTGTTAATTGTCCGTTGTTCGCCTAACCTATACATGAGGAGTATGATCATCGCTTTTGATCACCGAGTTATCAAATACTATAGTGCTATCAATGGCAATGCCTGAAATCCATCGACTTCGACCGTTGGAAATTTTCGAGACCACCAAAATTAAGTCCAATACTCAATAGTATCAACCCAAGAAAAATTGATGCATGAATATCTCGGACACATGCAAGGCACCTCTCTCTTATTCCCTTTTATTCTTGCTTCCTCTCCTCTCATAGACACACTCGCAAGACGCATCAATCAATGGTTGCGTTGGCATACACATTTGCCCTCGGCACAGACTGAGCATTTTGGCTCCTTCGGATGGCCACAAACGGATACACCATCGTGATTGTTGGTGCAACTAGCTGAGGTATGAGAGGTGCCTTTTGACGTAACGGCAGGTTTAACATTTGAACTCCAATATTAAGCGTACTCAGGTGAGAGTGCTACCGGGATGAGTGACGTCCAAGAAAAGTGCCCATCTATATATCAAAGGATGAAACCGCGAGGCTCGGTATGAGACGGGCCATAGTGAACAATTTCGAGTGAGTTAATCCCGAGTTGTCACACTTTTAGAGTGCAATGTCAATAACGAGCTGTTTTGCTATATAAAAATTACACATGTTCTCTAACTGGATCCGAGCATCTACTTTGATTGGCAAGACTACTGATGATCTACTTAGGCCCTGTTTGGTTCAGCCCAAAATGTTGAACCGTTTGGTTCGGCTTTCCGAGTCCGGAAAGTCGAAAGCCAGCATTTGGAATGTCGTTGGAATGCCGAAAGCCCAAAGCTGGTCCGGACTAGCTTTGGGCTTTCAGCATTCCACAAATGCTGAAGCCTATTGCTCCCTTCCCAAATTGCCCTCACTCAAATTTCAATTTTTCGGTTTTGCCCTGTTACTGTTCATCTTCTTCACCGTGAGGGTGGCCGGCAAGGGTGGCCGGCGAAGGGCTGGCGAGGGCAGATCTGGCCGGCGACGGGCCAGCGAGGTCGCTTGACCCAGGCGACGGCCGCCTGGGCGGTCGCTCGACCCCAGGCGGCCGTCGCCTAGGTCGGGCGACCTCGCCGGCCCTTCGCCGGCTAGATCCGCCCTCGCCGGCCCTTCGCTGGCCACCCTCACGGTGAAGAAGATGAACAGTAATAGGGGCAAAACCGGAATATTAAGAATAAAAATTGCTAAAGCCCTTTGCAAAAAAAATTTTACCAAACGCTACTTAGGCCAAAGTAGCTTCACAAATTTTTTTTGCCAAACACTACTTGCATTTCCCCAAGTGGCTTTCACCTAAAGGTATTTGCATTCCCCCAAGTTGCATTTGAAAAACCGAACCAAACGGGCCCTTAATACTTCTCAGCGAAGCAACACGCACAATCTATTGTATTTGCCATTTGCACAGTTACGTTGTTCTCCCTTGAGCCATTGTATCAGAGAAATATCGTCGCATGGTGTCTTTGTTAAAATTACATGCCGGGCTAATAACCCTGAATTTTTGCCCGTTTTACAACAGAGCACCTCAATTTTTTTTTAATTCAATCAATTTCAACTTCTCTAATGTGGCTCCATATGAGAACTTTGTTTGAACCATAGATGAAAAATGCCATCGTGGACACTACCGCTGTTAAATAGCCATTATCTTTTGAGACGATGCCACGTCAATATTAAATAGCCACTATTAATATGACTAATTTCATAGTCAAGTAACTACAAAGTTTAGTTTCGGTGGGAGTTTGCCCTTATTACATTAGTGGAGTGTTAACACCTGATTTTTAGCCGACGTGTCTTGAAAGGTAAAAATTTGAGATTAGGGTTTCTGGTCACGACATGACCTAATTCTCAATTAAAAAGAGTCATTTAGCATTTGAATTAGTATTAGCCACTCATTTTCTAGCCTTTTGCATTTATTTTTCAAAAAAGTCAAAACATTGACTTTTGAGTTGACTTTTGGTCAAACTTTAATAGAAAAGTCAATCCAAAGTCAAAACTTGATTTTTTGCATGAAAAACCCCAAAATAGTGTTAATTTCACTTTTGCCCAATCAATTTTCAAAAAATTTAAAGTTTGACCCATTAATTGACATTTTAGTATATAAGTACTAAAATGTATTTTATCCAAAAAAAATTGAAAAAATTTGAAACCCCTAAATCATTTCATTTTTAGCTTAATTTCACTTTGGCATCATTAGTATTGCATAAATCGGTTTATAATCAACTTTTCCCCAATTTGTGGAATTTGGTTCAAATCTGCGAAAAATGAAATTACTTCATTTCTAGTCATTTTTAGAATAGTTTCCTTCACGGCATTTGATCTAGAGGTCGTATTACATTCAATTTTCAAATTGATTTTAGAATTCCAAGCCAATGGTGAAAACCCCCAATTTGAGCCATAATTAGGGATTTCGATCGATTCTTCATGATTTGCATAATTGAGACTCGTATGTGCCTAATTTCTTATATAAAACTCAAATCCAAATTTAATTTTGGAAGATTCACATGAATTTGAGTTAATATGACCAATCTAGTGATCCAATGATTGAGAAATCCAAGAGTAATTGGTCCAACTAGTGCAATTCAACTTGGTCAATTCTAGACTAAAATCCAATTTGATGAATTGAAGTTCAATTTGGCCAATTAGACTTCAATTAAATTCTTTATTCTAGCTTGGCAATGAAATTTAACGTAAATTGAAGAGTAATTGGGTCAAACAAGTTAAATTTGATCAATTTATGCTTGTATTTCAAATGGTTCAATCCAATTCAATTCAATTGGGGCAATCAATCATGATAGAGATTAAATTTCATGAAATTGGAACAAAATTGAGCCAAGAACCAAACCGGTTCCACCCGGTCGAACCAATTCAACCAAGTTTGACTGGCGGGCCGATCATTTCACGATGAAAATTCCGGTGGCCAGCGGTCCATTTCAACCAGCCAAGGCCAGTCGGTCCCTTTATGCACAAAATTACAAAAATACCCCTAGTGAAATTACAAAAATGCCCCTTATAATCAATTTTTAACTAATTTTCTTAAGGGATAAGCAAATTTCCTTAGGGATTAAGCAAACAATCATGGCCATCCGTTAAGAGTGCATCATAGTTATTTATTATGTCATGTCATCTATCCTTAGCCCTTAGGCTGCGTTTGGTCGTCCGGGTTTCTAAACTGGATAGGACTGGATAGGATAGGATAAGAAATCTTGGGATTTCTTCATATCATATCCACTGTTTGGTGGACTACGGATTTAAAGTCAGATAGGATAATTTTTTTTTTTTTGCTATTCACGGGTTCGAAGGAGTCGGTGAAGGAAAAAAAGTCGAGAAATTTTTTTGGTCAAAGCGCACAAGGTGTGGGGATGAAAATGACGGCGAGTGGAGAGTAGGGTTTCTGGAAAAATAGACATTAGAAATCCTATCTAGGTCTATCCCACCCCCCCTCGGATTTTTTTATCCGGTCTATATCCGACCTTATCCTATCCTGGACCACCATCAAACACATGATAGGATAAAACATATCCTATCCTGGCTTTTATCCGGTCGACCAAACGCAGCCAATCCTGGCTTTTAAGGAATATCCTTAACTCTTAAGGAAGCATTCAAACTTGGGGGAGGTATATAAGGATTTTCCCTCCAAAAATTAAGAGGAGGCTCATTTTTCAGATTTACTTTCTCTCACTAAAAACTCTCTCTCCCTCCCTCTCTATTCCTCTATCTCGGCTGGCGCTCTCTACCGCCCGTGCCGGTCGATCTCCAGTGAACCACCGCACCTCCGACGTCCCCCGGAGGCTCCTTGAGACTGTGGTGGCCGGCCTCCGTTGGAAAATCCACTGGAACTTCCTAAACTTGTTTGATTTTGCTTCTTGTTCATTCTTCTTCCTCGGATCGTTATCTTACGTCGATCTTATCATGTTGTGACGTAGATACTGAGAGCTATATTTGGCACCGTTCCGGAGCTCATCGGTGGTCAAAATAACTCGGTTGAGCTCAGCAACTTCATTCAACAAGGTAGGCACTCTTAAATCTTACTCTGTGAAATCGTGTACTGAGGAACCTGCATGCTTCCAATGCTGATTTGAGCTCGAAAATGTTAGAATCTGAAAAAATGTTCAACTAGAGATTTGATCTATACTTCCTAAGCTTCGATTTGATAGATTATATGTGTAAATTGGACTTGGTTTGCTAGGTGAAAATCACTTCGTAAGTTAGGATCAGAATCTGGAATCATGACTTTACATTCTGTTCTGGTGATTTCCTGACTGATGTTGCTCGGTTCTATGATTTTTATGATTTTCTATGATCGTTTTTTGAAGAAACTTCCTTCATGAAAGTCGTAGAACACACCTAGATCTATCTGGAATAAAAATTTCATAAAATTCCGTATTGATTTAGTATATACAATTGATGCTAGAAGTCACGTCATCTAGTTTGTGATAATCAGTTTTAGACCGACCTTTGCATGTTCCACGATTTGTATAAATTTTTGTGGTCATTATTTGGAAACACTTCCTTGATAAAAGTTGCAGAATACATTTTTATCTATAAAACCTCAAAATTTCATACAATTCCATACTGATTTGGGTGGTCCGATCTGCCCTTGATGAAGACATTCAGATTCTGTCTTTTAATCCAAAATTTTCCAGTTTCAGTGACCGAATTGATTTTACAATTTTCACAAAGTTAGGGATATTTTTGGCAAAAACTTAAAAGTTGTTCATTAGGGCCTCATTATGTAAATTGAAAATTTTGGGGACGTAATAGCAACGTGGGGTCAATTTGCTAAAAATTTCGGATAAGGTTCTCCCGATCTCAAAACTGTTTTGCAAATGTGTCCTCGGTGAAAACCGATTTTTATAAATAAAAAAAAAATAAGGGCTTTTTAGCAAAAACTCAAATATGAAAGTTGTTAGACACAGGGAATCCTAACTGTCTAAAACTTTTCATGCGGTTTGGATATTGTTTGTTATTTTTCTCGCCTTTATTTTAAAATCCTTAACAGAATCGGATCTAGTCTGTCATTCTGAGTTACATGTTGATTTTCTGAAAAACCGGGTGGGAATTGTGAAAAACGGTCTTCTTGACTTTTCATCCTCACGATCTAAGCTTTCTAAAGACACCTTATTTGTATTATTTGGATATCATTAAGCTGATTAATCACATCTGAACATAAAGGGTCTGAATTTGATAATAATAACTGAATAAGTGGTCTTATTACGAGGCCCACTTCTCATTATTTGATTGATTGAGAAACAAGGCCTATGGGCCTAAATGCATGCTTTATTCATTGCTATGCATGTGGTTATTAGATGTATGTTTAGGCCCGATGCATGTTCGGCGGATATGCTACGATAAACACTTAGACCCGATATTAGAAGTTAACCGATATGAGCCATTGTTTTGTGAATGCAAATGGTGACTCGTTATCGTTAACCATTAATCAATCAATGTTAGTTGATTAAATGGGTGGCATGATCGGAATGCATGTAAAGCAAAGGCTGACCACGAGGCTCGTTTTTGAGTTGATGCTTGAATGTTCGTGCTTGATCTTGTTTGAATGCCACTTGAATGTATGGTATGAATGTAAAATCGACACCCGTGAGGCAGTCCATGGAGAAAATGGCCAAACAACTTCGAAGATGGTGGCTAAAATCCGGTCTCAATTTGTACACAATTCGTGTTACCCGATCATGTCTTGGGTCTTTCTATTCGTGTTGTATTAAACACCCGACGAGTAGCGGGTTTTTCTTTTCTCGCACTTAGAATAGCTTGTCTTTTCAATACTTTGCGTGTTTACTTTACACATCGCCATTTCAATACAAATTGTTTGTTTGTTTCCTTTTCTAGACTAATATAGGACTAGTTTAGAACCTAAATGGAAACCACATAAACAAAATGCATGATCACCTAGTGGACTAAAACTTTGGCATGAAAATGGTAAAAAACAAATGCATGACAACTTAGATAACAACCATGTTAAGTTTAGCGGTACCGAAAGGGCGTTAGTGGAAACATTAACGTAAGTTAGTCCCTGAACCCATGATCTCTGGTTTTCGTAAAAACCAAAATGAAACTCCTGCATTTCGGTTGGGTATTCTAGCTGACCCTCGACCTAGGCTAGTGGCGACTCTAATTTGCTAAAAAAAGATAAAATCAATTCGTTGTCACGCGAGCTATGAATTTAGGGAAAATCCACGTTTATGATTAACGGACCATATGGATGACCAAAAGATTGATATTTCGGTAAGCCGTCTTTTATAATATGCCATTCAGACCGTTTCATGAACACTTACCTTTAAACCCGCTCCATTGAGTTCGGCCCTCGAGAGGTAGGTCGTGACATTGAGCTCGAGGGAATATAACGTTTCATCGAGCCAAAGTTTAAGCTTGACGATCAAAATGGAGTAGACGTGAGGCTCCACTATCGGAGGCGAGTCGAGTTTTGATATTAGATTGTCTCCACTCGGGTCGACATCATTTTTCACGATGAAAGAGCTCAATCTCATGGGGGCATAGCCATTACGCACACACGAATGAAGCAAGTGCTGAAATATAAGTCAACAGATTGTGACAATTCGACACGTTTTATTAAAAACAAGAACGATTCACTCAACGGTCTCCGTTGCCTCACCTTGCGTTTGGAACACATATACATTTGTTGTCTTTAAAGATGGGGTGAGACCCGGTATCACACAACTCTGGAATACAATAGCCGTCCGCGTAGACCCGGTGCCTTGATGAAACACAGAAACATTCAGTATTTATAATGACGGGTTCATATCCGATAGGACACACATTAGCTAAGCCCTGGCCGCCTAGAAGACACTTTCTTTCTTCTGCCGCTTGTGAGACAGGAAGACCTTAAAAGAACGAAAGTTCGGAAAATTCATTAGAGCAGTTCTACATTTAGAAATAATAATAATAATAGACGCGAGATGAGAGAATCCTACTAGACGCAATCACCAATAGAATGACCAATGCACTAAGCTTGGCTTGACCCTTCTCCATTTCCAAGTATGTCGGCTTGATTGTGTGATTGTGCAGAGAGTTTTTTAGGATAATATAGAGGAAATTTGGGTTTGATTATTGGAGACAATTGTGGAAGATATGTGTCATGAGTCCCCTTGAAGTGGGTTCATAGAGAAGTCTAAAGCATGGTATTTTTGGAGTCTGAGTAAATGCTAGATCTAGAATTGAATGAATAGTAGCTAACTTGCTACATATTCATATTAAGCTGCTGATATAACTTGTTACATGTTCTCGATCGAAATGCGCACTTGCTTTACTAGGTAAGATAATAAGTACTAGTGGTATGCAATTAAATAATTCGAGATTCTCCTACCATAACATAAGAAAAGACGCCTAACATGTATATATTTTCTGGTTAGATAAATGCTCTATTTTTTCTCTAAAATATAATTATTTGACCAGATTAAAATATGCAAAAATTCAATAATACGGTACAAATGCAAATTGTGAATATTAAAAGGGGTTAATACCACGAAAAACCCAAACTGGTATACCTGTGATAATTTTATCCGAAACTAATTTTTTGATTACTAAAAACCCCAAACTTGTACAACTGTGACAATTTTACATTCTACTAGTTTCCATTAAATTTTACCGTCAAATTTCTAAGTCGGATGACATGTAACAGTTGACAGGTGTACCAGTTTGGGGTTTTACCCTTCATTTGTCACATGTGTACCAGTTTGTGATTTTTCAAGGTATAAATCCAATTTAATGAAGGGTAAATTTGTCAAAAATGTACTAGTTTAAGGTTTTTGACGGTAAAAAAATTAGTTTAGAGTAAAATTATCGTAGGCAAAGACTTGCCGCAGGGCCTTCCTTCCAAAGTAGTGTTCCAGCAACAACTCTCAATAACTCGAAGATGGGTGCACTCATGAATTCGCATACTGCGATTTTCCTTTTAACTTGGAGATGTGCTGTATAGGCATACATATAGAAGCAAGGCATAGAGAATGTCTTCACCTTCAATTCTGCAGAATATGCAGAACACGGATCTTCAACAAAATCCAACAGTATGGTTTAGCATCTCTCTATTCTGGATCCTCTACTGCTGTAGAGTCTCTACAGGACACTTTTGTTTGTGAACCAATCTCACTCAACATCGAGTAAATCATAATTCTCTGATGGTGCATGCCATCTTTTGCGGACTCTGTAGATTCAATGCCTCCAAGTTCAATGAGGCGGGACCTGACTTCCTTTTGCGAACCCTTTGCCTTCATCATTATCTTGACATTCTCGACTGCATCCCAACTACCTTTGGCTGCATACATGTTTGACAATAGTACATAGGGCTCAACATCTGTTGGTTCGAACTCAATCAAATGCTCGGCCACCATCTCTCTTAGTTCCATGTGAGAATGGGTCCTACGGGCAGAAAGCAGAGCACCCCATAGTGAAGATCCTGCCACTATAGGTACTTCTTTAAACAACTCTCCTGAATCCATCACCAGCCCAGCTCGAGCAAGAAGATTGACCATGCAACCATAGTGCTTCACCTTAGGTTGGATATTGTAAACCCGAGACATCAGGTTGAAACACCACCAACCTTCCAAAACCGTTCCGGAATGTGTGCAGGCAGATAATATGCTGACAAAGGTAGCATTATTTGGCACTACACCTCTCTTCTCCATCTCCAAGAACATTTCCAGGGCTTTCTCGCCATGCCCATGATCATAGCATTCCACGAGACAACACTTCTATTAGGCATCTGATCAAACACTTTCCTGGCTAAATCCATAGTGCCACATTTTGCATACATTGTCAATAGCGCAGTCGAAAGCAGCACGTTGACTTCAATGTCATTATCCTTCATGTAAGAATAAACTAAGTGGCCTTTATTGAGGTCCCATGTATTGGCACATGTTGTGAAAACACTCACAAGAGTAACCCTATTGGGTTTAATCTCTTCCTCTTGTAGCATACTATCAAACAGACTTAAACGCTTTGTATAACCTTTAACATGTACATAAAGAGCCAACAAGGTATTCCATGAAACTACATTCCAGAAAGGCATCGAATCAAAAACGCTGCGAGCCTCTGACACGTTTCCAATCCTTGCTCACCCATCGATCGTATGATTCCACGACACATTGTCCTTAAACGGCGTTCCATCAAACAACCCTCGTGCCTCGCCCATGTCCCCTCGCGCAACATAACCTGCAATCATCGAGTTCTAACTGAAGACGTCCCTTTCAATCATTTCATCGAAAAGTTCGCGAGCAACATCCACTTCCCTATTCTTCACATGACCATCAATCATGGAATTCCAGCCAACCAAATCCAACACAGGCCCTGCATCAAACACCAAGCGCGCACTCCAGGCTTTTCGAAAAATCGAATACATGTGAATCATCGCATTCCTCACGAATAAATCCGACTCGAACCCAAGTTTTTACACCCTGCCATGAACCTTCTCTCCATCGGTCAATAACCAATCGCCACAAACCCTTTCACTACAATGGGAAACGTATAGTGATTTGGTGCGACATCATTCCCCATCATCTCGTCATAGTAAAATCTCATAGCACTGCACACATCACTCATGTTGACATAAGTTCTCATAATAGTATTGCACAGAAAAGCATCGGGTTCTTGGGTACACTTGAAGAACGTAGCTGCATGAGCAACCTCACGTAAAGAACAGAGCTTCTTCACTGCTCGGCTGGTGGCAAGAGAGTGCTTAGAGAGACGAGTGACAACTAGCTGAGCATGGACTTGATTGAATTCTCCGACGCTATTGCACGACTCCAGTTTGCGCAAAATCGGATGGGCTAACGTCAATACGTCAACTTCTTCATCGTTTGTGATTAGAATTATGTCGCTTGACAACGTCAGGCTAGAGTTTCGGTGTGGGCTTGGAGAGGTTTTTCCGGGATTTGATGAATTTGTCGAGAAATAGGGATGAGAATCTGGTGTTTGGTGTGAGTTTCCGGGCAATGGACATATCATTACTGGGTTGTGTTTGGTTTTTCCCGGGAAGCTTTGTGCTTCCGACATCTGAAGTTCCAGAGCTATCGGATGTGTTATATGCCTGACCAGTTTTGCGAAAGCTTTTGACCTTAATTCAACATCTCTTAAGGCATGTCAAGTGCATTTACGTCTTATTTATGGATCTCACATGAGGATACGAATTTTTTTATTAATAGGTAATGTTATTTTTTAAATGGAAATATGTAAAAATCAGCTTTTCTGACTTTTGTTGGACGAGCCTTCGTGTATTTGTAATAGCTTCATTGTCGAGTGACCTAAAAGGATGGTCAAATATGAACACGACCCAAAATGGATCTTTGATATCTTCAAATTTCTCTTTATATCCACAATTTCAGCACTTTATTTTTCTCGACAACCTAGAGCAAGCGTAGTTAAAATATGCAAACTATGTTTGAATTTCTTTGCCATCAAATTCGAAGACGTGAGGATATAGAGTGTGCCACTCTTCCGGGACTTTGTCTTTTAAGACCAAATATCGAAATTTTTTATTCTCTTAATCATCAATTGTTCATCTAACCTATATATAAGGAATACGATCAACCACTTTTGATCACCGCGTTATCAGATACTATAGTGGAATCAATGGCAATGCCCGAAATCCATCAACTTCGACCCTTGGAAATTTTCGAGACCGCCAAAAATAAGTCAAATACTCAATAGTATAAACCCATTTTATTAATGAGCAAAATTTGTGCATGAAAATCTCCGACTCATGCAACTCAACTCTCTCTTATTCCCTTTTATTCTTGCTTCCTCTCCTCTCACAGACACACTCGCAACGCGCATGAATCAATGGTTACATAGTAGGGGTGGTCGGTTCCCGGCCCTGTCCGGTTCCACCGAGAAACCAGGAACTGGACCGGTTCCCAAAATTGGGAACCATGGACCGGACCGATTGGTCCTGGGACTGGGAACCAAACCGGACCGATGGCCTGGTATTGGTCCGGTCCAGTCCAATGGAACCGATCACTTAGTTTTAACACTTGTTTGAGGGTCCTTCTATTTTAGAATTCGTCATTGCCCTTGATGATCTAAATCAAATATGTTAACCTAGTCTGACGGGCAAAAATCTAGAGGAGATGGTTTAGTCACTTCCTTCTATTTCTGTGTTGTCATGGGACATTTCTTTTCCTTGTGGTTCATTTCGTTTTTTTCTCCTTTTTTTAAGATTCAAATGCTTCTTTTGTCATCCAACCATATGAAATTTGATTGGAGCCAAGAAAAGAAACATGCCCCCTGTGAGAATTGGAGCATACTCCACAGCAGCAAATGCCATGTGGCATGTAAAGTCTCTTCATTTGGCAAAAAATTGTCATTCTTATGAGCCTCTTCTGGTTGAATGTGGATGAGCCCTTATACATATCATATGATATTTTTGGTTTGGTCCAGTTGGTCCGATTCAGTCCAGTGCCCCCTTGGAATCGGAAACCGTACCACCCAAACACCGGTTCCACTTTTAGAAACCGAGAATCGGACCAAACTGGCTCGTCTGGTCCGGTTTGGGCGGTTCCTGATCCGATCGGTCCATCTTGCTCACCTCTATTACACAAGCATACACATTTGCCCCCAGCACAAATTGAGCATTTTGGCTCCTTTGGATGACCACAAACATAGACACCATTGTGACTGTTGATGCAACTAGTTGAGGTATTAGATGCTTTTTTTTTACGTAAGGGTAAGTTTAAAATTCAAACTCCTATGTTAAGCGTACTCATGTGAGAGCGCTACTGGGATGGGTGACATCCAGGAAAAGTGCCCATCTATATATCAAAGGACAAACCGTGAGACTCGATATGAGACAGGCCAAAGCGAACAACTTCGGGTGAATTAATCCAGGCTTGTCACACTTTCAGAGCTCAGATCATGCTATTGAGCATCCACTTTGATTGGCAAGGCTACTGATGATCTACTTAATATTTCTCAGCGAAGCAACATGCACGATATGTTGTATTTCCTATTTGCATGGTTACGTTGTTCTCACTTGAGCCATTCTATCAGAGAAATATCGTCGAATGGTGTCTTTGTTAAAATTACTTGTCGAGATAATAACCCTGAATTTTTGTCCGTTTTACTGGGGAGCACCTCAATTTTTTTTTATTCAATCGATTTCAACTTCTCTAACGTGGCTCCACATGAGGCCTTTGTTTGAAGCACGGATGAAAAATGCCATCGTAGACACTACCGCTGTTAAATAGTCATTTTCTTTTAAGACAATGCTACGTTAGTATTAAATAGCCACTATTAATATGACTAACCTCATAGTAAAGTAACTACAAATTCTAATTCGAGCGCGAGTTTGCCTTTACAACATTAGTGGAGCTCGAGGGAATATAACGTTTCATCGAGCCAAGTTTGAGCTCAACAATCAAAATGGAGTCAATGCAAAGCTCCACAGTCGGAGGCTAGTCGAGTTCAAATATTAGATTGTCTTGACTTGGGTTGACATCATTTTTGTTGGAAGATATGCCGAAGATTTGTGTCATCTATCCCGATTACAATTGATATGCATAATCAATCAATGATTGTAATTGATTGATAAGAATCAATCTAGGATTAGAATAGATATATTGTTTCCTTTCATTTCTCACATTTTGTACTATATATACTTGACATTGTACATGAAGACAACACAATGAGAAGAAAAACGGTACAAAAAACTTCTTTTTCAACTTCTTTCATGGTATCAGAGCCGTTCTTCCTGGCCTAGCTTCCGCACTCCTTGATTGCCGTCCGGATTTTTTGCACCTTCGTTATTGTGGGAACACTGACCTGCAAAACAAGGTTAGCACTCCGATGTAGGAATCAATTTTTGAACTTTCTCAAAAAAAGGGAAAGAAAATCGTTTTTTTCTTACTGATACCATGACAAAAGATCACTCATCAAGTTCTAAGGAATGAACTCCAGAAGAGTCCACTCCGCAAGGAAATGCATCGGTCCATATATCTACCTCGGACCCCACCTGCTGAAGTCGTGAATCAGCAACATGTTCAGGTCCAGCCAAACCAGGGATAACCCATCTCGGGCCAACCCACTCAAGGCCAGCCCAATATCGGCCAATCCATCAAGTGGCTACCTATCCAGATACCATCCAGCCCATGGTTTTATGGGCCAACACAACCTGTTCCATGGCCAGCAAATCAAGGCCACGGAGAACAGATCCAGCCCAATGGAGGCCCGCGGAGAACAGATCTAGCTCGCCATCCAAGAGGAAAGCCAGCGCCTCGCCTCGTCGGAATATGTCAAGTTCGGAGATGGAGTCGTGCTCATGGCTCATGCAAACGCCCCACAGAAAGGCACCATGAGCAGAGGACAAGGAGAGAGGCAAAAGGGGACGTTAGGTTTTCTGGAAGAGGAAACAAAAGGCTTTAAAGGGGATGGAATGGATGGCTCAGATGGCATAACACGATCAGATGGCTCACGAAATGCTCCACCATCATCTGGATCGGACGGTCTTCAAGAAGCCACGACAAACCCCATCTTCAAGCCATCCAATGGCTCATATTCTACCACGTCATCAAAGAATAAATATAAAGGCAAAGGAAAACTATATTGCGATTATTGTAAATGTCCGCATCACACGATTGATACTTGCTGGAAATTACATGGCAAACCTATAGAAAAAAGGAAAAAGGGAATTTTCAACAGCTTATCAAGTTACTGGTCAAAGTATTTAGCAAAAAAAAAAGTTACTGGTCAAAGCACATTAAAAATTAATTAGCCAATTACCCATGATCAATACCAGCAACTTATGAAGACCTTGAGGAAATTAGACTTTTCTGACAAAATGGGAAGTTTTTCAGGTACTTCTTATTGCTTGATGAATTCCACTTCCAATGATGCATTGATAATTGATTCAGGTGCTAGTGACCACATTATCTGCGAAAAAAGTTTTTTTTTTCTGATATCAATAAAGAATTAGCTATTCCCGTCTCAGTACAACTTCCAAATGGAAATGCGACGTATGTCACGATGACTGGCACAGTAAATCTTAGCCCCCACATTATACTTCAGAACGTCCTTTATGTTCCGGATTTCCATTTCAATCTCATTTCTGTCTTAAGAGTTTGTGAAGAAAATTCTTGTCGAGTTCTCTTCAATTCTAATAATTGCTTCTTTCAGGCCCTTTCGACTAGCAAACTAATGGGCTTGGGTAGTATCTCTCAAAGGCTATTTTTCTGGATCAATTTTCCGAGCAATTTCAATTTATCTTGTATTCAATTAAATAACCAATCATTGTGTAACACTGCTACCAATGATAAATTTTTCTTTCTCATCAAAGATTGGGCCACAATGCATCCTTTCCTTATCCTCAGTGCCATATTTGTCCTCTAGCAAAACAATCACGTGCACCTTTTCCAAACAGCAATACTCGTGCCAAGAGTGTTTTCTCATTGATTCATGCTAATGTTTGGGGACCATATCACACTCCATATCATAATGGCTCTCGTTTTTTTCTTACAATTGTGGACGATTACTCTCGAGCCACATGGGTTTTTCTCATACAATCTAAAGGTCAAGTGCCTTTTCATCTGAAATCATTCTTTTCCCTATCAAAGAATCAATTTGGGAAATCTATTCAGCGCATTCATACTGATAATGGAAGAGAATTCTTCAATAGTGAGTGTACATCTTTATTCTTTTCTCATGGAACCCTACATGAGAACTCATGCACTTACACTCCACAGCAAAATGGAATTGTTGAGCGAAAACACCGTCATCTCTTAGAAGTTGCACGTGCTCTTAAATTTCAAGCTTCCATTCCCGAAACTTTTTGGGGAGATTGTGTGGTCACAGCAGCTTACCTGATCAATCGCATGCCAACTTGTGTTCTTGACGGACGGACTCCATTTGAATTGCTCTACGGGAAAAAACCAGATCTTCATCACTTGAGTGTATTCGGTTGCTTATGCTATGTCACCACAGTGGGCCCTCGTGACAAAATGGGCCCTCATGCCCGTCGATGCATATTCATGGGATATCCAAGTTTCCAAAAAGGATATCGTGTTTTTGAACCATCCACAGGTGATTTCATTGTGAGCAGGGATGTTATTTTCCATGAGAAAATATTTCGTTTTCAAGATGAGGCATCTTCATCTGAACATTTTGGCACGACGACAACTTCTCCAAGATTTCTATCTAAAGAGGATTTATCTTGTGATCAACAAAATATTATTGTTGCATCTCCAGAAGTTCCAGTCACAGTATCACCTCCAATGATTGATGAGATTTCTGCATCCACATCGACATTGGAGCATTCGATTGAACATTCTGCCATGCCAACCGAAGATAATTCAAACTCTCCTTCAATGGAGTCTCCTTCAGCACCCATTAATGCTGATGAGTCATCTTCTGAGCCTCGAGATAATCCACCATGACGCTCCAGCCGTATTACTCATCCACCCACCTGGACTAAAGATTATGTTTGTACAGCCTTGAATTCATCAGGTACTCATTATCCTATTTCCTCCTATATTTCATTTCATCGGCTATCGTCAAAACATATGTGTTGTATTAGCCGCATATCTGAGGAACAAGAACCATCTCGTTATAGTGAGGCAATTACTAATCTACGGTGGCAAAAGGCTATGGAAGCAGAGTTACATGCCCCGATAGAAAACCAGACATGGGATATCGTACCACTTCCCTCTCATTGCAAGCCGATTGGTTGCAAATGGGTGTACAAGATTAAATGTAAAGCAGATGGCTCCGTTGAACGATACAAGGCTCGATTAGTGGCTAGAGGTTTCACGTAGCGAGAAGGTTTTGATTACCATGAGACATTCTCCCATGCGGCGAAGGACGTTATAGTTCATTCTTTCTTATCAATTGCTGCTATTCATGATTGATCATTACATCAAATGGATGTTCATAATGCATTCCTTCATGGTGATTTGGATGAAGAAATTTATATGGATCTCCCGCAGAGTTTACGGAGACAAGGGGGAGTCTAGAGTGTGTCGTCTCCATAAATCCCTTTATGGTCTCAAACAAGCTTCCTAACAGTGGTATGCCAAATTTACCAATGCACTTACAGCTGCAGGATTCAAACAGTCCAGATATGATTATGCTTTATTCACATGGGCGAAAGGTATGTCATCCATCTATTTAATGATATATGTTGATGACATACTCATTATGGGAAGCGATGAATATGCTATCAAGCATCTTAAAGAATACCCGCATTCCGCTTTTCATATTAGAGACCTGGGATCACCAAAATATTTTCTTGGAATTGAGATTGCCCGATCAGAACAAGGAATCTCCCTTAGCCAACGAAAATTTGTACTGGAAATTATATCAGAAGTAGATTTATCAGGACTCAAACCAGCTATTATTCCCATCGACCAAAATGCCAAATTGACCTCGGCTAATTATGATGCGGGTTTATCATCTCCAGATAATGATCCATTACTCAAAGACTCGACAAGCTATCAAAGACTTGTCGGAAAGCTTATCTATCTCACTATGACCAGACCGGACATATGCTATGCAGTACAGACACTCAATCAATTCATGCATAGTCCAAAACAATCCCATATGAATGCTGCATTAAAGGTTGTAAAGTACTTGAAGAAATGCCCTTGACTCGAGATACTTCTTTCTCAAAAATGTAACATGGAGATGGCAGCTTACTGTGACATGGATTATGCAACTTGTCCTATGAGCCGAAGGTCTATCACTGGTTTATGTATTAAACTTGGAGAATCGTTACTTTCATGGAAAACAAAGAAGCAATCCATTGTATCCTTATCATCTGCTGAAGCTAAGTACCGAACTATGGCTAAAACTGTTTGTGAGATAGTATGGTTATGAGGCCTTCTTCTAGACCTTGGGGTACAAGTTAAAGGACCAACCCTACTATTTTGTGACAACGATGCGACACTCAAACTTGCAGCGAATCCTATAGTACATGAAAGAACGAAGCACATAGAAGTTGATTGCCATTTCACTCGAGATAAGATCCAAGAAGGGATAATCGAGACAAGAGGAATCGGGACCACAGAACAGCCTACGGATATCTTCACCGAGCCTTTGTGTCAAAGACAACACCCATATCTATTGAGCAAGCTGGGCGTCTTGGACATATACAAACCGTCAACTTGAGGGGGAGTGTTGGAAGATATGTTGAAGATTTGTGTCATCTATCCCGATTACAATTGATATGCATAATCAATCAATGATTGCAATTGATTGATAAGAATCAATCTAGGATTAGAATAGATATATTGTTTCCTTTCATTTCTCACATTTTGTACTATATATACTTGACATTGTACATGAAGACAATACGATGAGAAGAAAAACAGTACAAAAAAACTTCTTCTTCAACTTCTTTCAATTTTTCACGATGAAAGAGTTCAATTTCATGGGGCATAGCCATTATGCACACACGAACAAAGCAAGTGCTGAAAAATAAGTCAATAGCTTGTGACGGTTCAACACGTCTTATTGAGAACAAGATCGATTCACTCGACAGTCTCCGCTGCCTCACCTTGCATTTGGAACACATATACATTTGTTGTCTTTAAAGATGGGATGAGATCCGATATCACACGACTCTGGAATACATGCGCCGTCTGCGTAGACCTGGTGCCTTGATGAAACGCAGAAACAATCGTTATTTTTAACGACGGAAATTACCCGACAGGACACACATTAGCTTCGCCCTTACTGTCTAGAAGACACGCAACTCTTTCTTCTGCAGCTTGTGAGACAGCAAGATCTTAAAAGAAGGAAAGTTCGGAAAATTCAATAGTGCAGTTCTACATTTAAAAATAAAAATAAAAATAATAATAATAATAATAGAAGAGAGATGAGAGAAACCTATTAGATGCAATCACCAATAGCATGACCAATGCACTAAGCTTGGCTTGACCGTTCTCCATTTCTAAGTTTGTCGGCTTGATTGTGTGAGCTGTGATTGGGCAGAGAATTTTTTAGGATAATATAGAGGAAATTTGGGCTTGATTATTAGAGACAATTGTGGAAGGTATGTGAGACGAGTACCCTTGAACTGGGTTTATACAGATGTCTAAAGCATGGTATTTTTGGGGTGTGAGTAAATGTAAGATCTAAAATTGAATGAATAATAATTAACTTGCTACATATTCATATTCAGTGCTTATATAATTTGTTACATATTCTCGATCGAAATGCGCACTTGCTTTACTAGGTAAGATAATAAGTAGTAGCGGTATGCAATTAAATAATTCGAGGTTCTCTTACCATAATTCGAGATTCTTCTACCATAATACAAAAAAAAGATACCTAACATGTATATATTTTCTCGTCAGAAAAATGCTCTCTTTTTTCTCTAAATTATCATTGTTTGACCCGATTAAAATATGCAAAATTTCAATAATATGGCACAAAGTGCAATATTCAAACTACGTTCGAATTTCTTTGCCATCAAATATGAAGATGCGAGGATATTGAGCGTGCCACTCTTCCGGGATTTCGTCTTTTAAGACCAAATATTGAAATTGTTTCTCTCTTATTGATCTTCAATTGTTCGTCTAATCTATACGTAAGGAATATGATCATTGCTTTTGATCACCGAGTTATCAACTACTATAGTGCAATCAATGGCAACGCCCAAAATCCATCATCGATTTCGACCGTTTGGAAAGTTTTCGAGATCACCAAAAATATAAGTCGAATACTCAATAGCATCAACCCATTTTAAGAAGAGCAAAATTTGATTCATAAAAACCTCCTACACATGCAACCCACCTCTCTCTTATTCCCTTTTATTCTAGCTTCCTCTCCATCTCGCGGACACACTCACAACACACCCCCAATCAATGTTTGGGCTCCAATCGACCACATATACATTTGCCATGTGCATAGATGTGATGAAACCCCTCGGGACACATCTCTGGAATACAATAACCTCCTACACCACCATTTGCCGAGACATACTGGCTCTTTGATGGAACGCAGAAACATTTGCCGTGCGTGTAGACCTTTTGAGACCCAATAGGACACTGCGCTGATGTACAAGGCGGGGCGCATTTACATTTCCCGTGTACATAGACGGCACGAGACCCTTGGGGGCACGTCTCTGGAAGACAAGCGCCTCCTTCTTGAGCTTGTGATACAATAAGACCTTGAAAGAAGGGAGCTTGGAGAATTCATTAGTGCAGGCTCTACATTTAGAAATAATAATAATAATAATAAAAGAGAGATGAGAGAAACCTACTAGATGCAATCACCAATAGGATGAGCAATGCACTGAGCTTGGCTTGCCCCGTCTCCATATCCAGGTATGATGGCTTGATTATCTGAGGTATGATTGTGCAGAGATTTTTAACTTTTTTAGGATTATAGAGAGGAAATTTGGGCTTGATTGTTAGGGATAACTGTGGAAGATATGTGTCATGAGCCCCTTGAAGTGGTTTTATATAGATGTTTAAAGTATGATATTTTTGGAGTTAGGGTAATTACAAGATTCGAAATTGGATGAATAGTAATTTACTTGCTATATATTGATATTCAATTGCACTTAAGTATTGGGTTTTTTTTTGTTCCATTTATTTCACGAATCTCAATTGAAATGCGCACTTGCTTTACTAGGTGTACTTGCGGTATGCAATTGGATAATTCGAGATTCTTCTACCATAATATAAGGAAAGATATCTAACATGTATATATTTCCTGGTTAGATAAATACTCTGTTTTTTCTCTAAAATATCATTGTTTGACCCGATTAAAATATGCAAAAATTCAATAATACCGCACAAAGTGCAAAGTGTGAACATTAGAAATCCAACTCATTGGGTTTTAAGCTTTTTCTCTTCACTGGCTGCTTAGTTTGCATGCCTCGCTAAGGAACTTAATTCGGATTTTTTGGACTCTATAATTAGTATAAAGCAAACTTTTGAAGTCCGCATCTAATTCATATTTACAAAAACTGGTGATTCAAGGCTTAATCCATCGACTGATTAAGTAAGTCCGATAGCTTTCGCTAAGGAAGATTCAAAGCGAAAGCTAACTATATTGATGCAATTTATCTCCACAGGCATATATAAAATTCTTCGGGTAAAAAATATTCTATTGAACCATTAATGTGGGGGATTGTTGTAATTATAAGTTATTAATGGCTCTACATTAGTTCACGCATTAATGAACACATTAATGGACGAATTAATGAACGTCTTAACGGACGCGTCTCTTTAACTCTCTACACCAGTTTTGTGGACGCTTTAATGGACGATGTAATGAACACGTTAATGGACGACTCTCTTCAGTTCTCTCGTGCAGCAGTTTTGTATATGCGTTATGGCTATGTACGTGGTGATGGCTTATTATCTTTGGATGATTTCCACACGAAGCGCAAAATAGACTAGACTTTAGACTTTGTCCTATTTAATCATTATTTCTTTTGGTTGCAATTCCTTAAACCGCTTTTATCTTTTCCTTTGTCCAAGGGCGACAACTATTTATGCTACTAGTTTCGTGCTAAAAGTAAGTATTAATCATTGTCAAGAACTCTAGTTCAAGTCCGAGTTTGAGCTTTATTTTCAGTAGAGCTAAAGAGAACAAAACATTTTATCAAGCCAAGTTCAACCTTGATGATTAAAATGGAGTCGATATGGAGCTCCACCGTTAGAGGTGAGTTCAGTTCAAATATTAACAGTGCATTTGTTTCAGAAAAAACTTCATGATAAAAGAAAGGGTATGTGCACAAAAAGTCCTAAAACTTGTCACCAAAGTGTAATTAACTCTTAAAACTTGTAAAAAGTGCAATCAAGTCCTAAAACTTGTCAACTTGGTTTAATTGAGTCCTAAAGTTAACACCGTCAATTTTTCTAACGGAAAATGCTGACGTGCCATATTTAAATCAATTTCTCTATCTTACATGGCATTTATTATTATTATTATTATTATTATTATTATTGGATTAAAAAAGTAAAGAAAACTAAAATTTTATTTAAAAAAACAATAATGGAAAAAAAGAAAGGAGCCCTCGCCGGTAGGGTGCTGCCGCTGCTGCCCATTGCTGGAGGTTGCCAGCCCCGCCCATCGCAGACCCTGGGCGAGGGTGACCGGCCTTCGCCGACCCCAAGCGAGGCCTCACCTGCCTAGGCAAGGGCTGGCGAGGCTCGCCCAAATTTGGGTTGAGGTGCCCATATCTAGGCGACGTTGGCCTTCGCAGTCGATGACCATTGCCCGCCTCAGGCGAGGTCTCACTAGCCTTCGCCGGCCCTCGCATGGGGCCAGCGTTGCTCGCCTAGATCTAGGCGCCGCCCACCCTTGCCAGCCCTGGGCGAGGCCTAGCCGACCCTAGGCGAGGGCCGGTGAAGCTTGCTAGGCCTCACCGGCCCGAGTGACGGCCGGATTCGCCCAAATCTGGGTGAGCTTCGCTCAGGCCTAGCGAGGGTCGCTGGCCCTCACCTAGGGCCGACGAGGCTTCACCCGGGGCTGGCGAGTGCCGGCCGCCATCGCCCAAGGCCAACGATCGGCAGCGGCAATGGCAGTGCACTACCGACGAGGCTTCCTCTTTCTTTCTTTTTTTTCTTTGTTGTTTTTTAAATAAAATTTTAGCTTTTTTTAGTTTTTTTATTTGATTTAAATAAGATTTGAATGAAATAATAATAATAATAATAATAATAAATGCCATGTAGGAGAGAGAAATTGATTTAAATATGGCACATCAGCATTTTCTGTTAGAAAAATTGACGATGTTAACTTTATGACTCAATTAAACCAAGTTGATAAGTTATAGGACTTGATTGCACTTTTTACAAGTTTTAGGACTCAATTCCACTTTGGTAATAAGTTTCAGGACTTCTAGTGCACATATCCCTAAAAGAAAATGATTTCTTGATTATATGTGATCGGAAATGTATTCTAGTATCGGGATCTCATTTGCAAAATGATCTCATAAATAACATTTTTGTCTTCTCTTGCGTTGTATATACACTACTACTACGGCACACTTCCTCGTGTGCAACTCGTTCAAGCCTGAGGCAGGAGGCGATGGCGGCGAGGGATCGGAAGCCGCTTCGGCGGATGATATCGAAGGCACGGCGTCCATAGATTTGATGCTCGCCGCACTCAAAGAAGGCGCAACCACCATGGCGTGAGCACAGAGAGAAGAGAGAGAGATCTGCGATCCTCGGATGGAGTCGAGAATGGTGAGCCGACGGAGATGAGCAGCGTGAAGAGCAAAGGTGGTTGACAACAGCAGAGACAAGCACGGACTGAGAGAGGAGAGAGAGATGACTTGATTTCGAGTTGAGAGAGAGAAGAGCAATTCAGAAAAATGTTTTTACCTTTTAGATTTAGGAATTCACTTTCCTTTAATTTATGTATGAATATTTTTGTTGACCGGAAAGTGTTTTCAATTGACTAGTCATTTTCGGCGAACCAAACAGGTGAAAATTCAAAAAACTAATTTCTAGAAAACACTTTTACTCAAACAATTTGAAAGAAAAATTGTTTTCGAAAAATTATTTTTTGACTTTCGGGTATTTGGATGACGGAAAACTAATTGATCGATGGAAAACGTTTCCATGGAATGAAAACAACGAATTTAAATTGGGGAAAAACGGCTTCCCCATCTATGAAAAGAAAATCACTTTCCCTAAACCATTAAACAAATAAAAACTAATTATTTTCCTTGGAAATTATTTTTCAATTATCATGAAGTTTTTAGTGAAACAAAACGTACCCTAAATTCTCTCAACTTGGGCCCGCACCATTTTTCACGATAAAGGAAGCTCAATCTCACGAGGCACAACCATCACGTACACGCAAGAATGAAGCGAGTGCTGGAGGACAAGGCAATACTTACGTCGGTCAACACGTCTTATTGAGAACAAAATCGATGCATTCAAACAATCTCCAGCACAATCACAAGCACGCACACAACATCAACACATGCAGACACAATATCCCTCGGTACAGGTGAGCATCATGGCTCTGTCGGATGACCGCAGATAGGGAGACCATCTTCAGGCTTGCCGCAAGGTGCGATCGGGCCGTCCAGGCTCTTGGTTCTGATGCATATGCATAGGCCTTGCACGCAGATGGGAGCATACCCAACTTCACACTGCTTGGGTTTGCAATCCAGGTCGGTCTGGCAATACAGTTCCCCGGCATGCGAGACCACAAAACCTTAAAAGAAGGAGCAATCGTTGGTATTAGGATAACAAGCGAGGGATCAGAGAAAATATGAATGAAAGGGGTCACCTACATGATGCAATCACCAGCAGAATTGCCAATGCACTGAGCTTGGTTTGACCCTTCTCCATCTTTCCTAGGCTTTGCTTACAGATATGGAGGATTGGGTTGTGATTATTGGAGAGGGATGTGGTTGATACTGGTCATCTCCATCCTTGGCAATGGGCTTTATATAGATATTTCGAGTTTGGTATTCTTGGAGTTCGTGTAAATAAATCCAAGATTTATAATATGGAATTGGAAGGTATAGTAATTAAGTTGCTACTTCTACGGATTCATCTTCTAATCCTGGTAGTATTATTATTGGGTTTTTCTTTTGGGTTATCATTTCATGGATCTTCATCGAAATGCATATTTGCTTTTACTAGTAAGACAATAATTACTTGCAGTATATAATATGGAATTGGAAGGTATAGTAATTAAGTTTCTACTTCTACGGATTCATCTTCTAATCCTGGTAGTATTATTATTGGGTTTTTCTTTTGGGTTATCATTTCATGGATCTTCATCGAAATGCATATTTGCTTTTACTAGTAAGACAATAATTACTTGCAGTATATAATATGGAATTGGAAGGTATAGTAATTAAGTTGCTACTTCTACGGATTCATCTTCTAATCCTGGTAGTATTATTATTGGGTTTTTCTTTTGGGTTATCATTTCATGGATCTTCATCGAAATGCATATTTGCTTTTACTAGTAAGACAATAATTACTTGCATATTTGCTTTTACTAGATATTTCGACTATGGTCCCACTGTGTAATAAACTCGTAATCCAATTCCCCATTCCTTCCTCGGCTATAATCATCTGTCAGTTAAGTGAAATGACTGCACCGTAACTTCGTTGATCGTTAATATGATTTTTTTTAGTTAATGTTGTTTAATCCACGATTACATTTTGACAATGTTTTGGTGGCGAACAACATAATATGCCGATCAAAATTACATTAAAAATGTTTTGATAATAACATGATAAAGACCCCAAGAAAAATGGGGCAGAAATATTTAATACAAAAGAAATCGAAAATTCTATCCATGGAGGCCCGGTCAAGCCCGCTCGAAACCCGCCCGGCCCGCCCAAATCACCAGCCATTTTGACTACCAAAACTCGCGTGCTGCAGAAATGGCGTGACCGTACAGAGTCTCGGAGGAGTCGGAGATCCCATGGAGTACGTCGACGACGACCGTCGCCGCTTCCTCTTCCAAGCGCGCGCGAATCCTCCCCCTCCTCCGCCGCCGCCGCCGTCGTCGTCTTCTTCTTCTTCGGCCTCCGGCCAACGGCGGCAGCTGCCCAAGCCCTTCCTCGTCGCCACCACCGCGCTCTCGGCCGTCCTCGTCTCTCTCGCGCTCCTCTACGCCCACTCCGAGCCCTCCCGATCTCTCCTCCTCTGGCTCTCCCTCTCGCTCCTTGTCGGCCCCTTCGCCCCGTCCTCCCTCACCGGCGGCTCCGTCCGCGTCGGCCACGGCCCGGTCGTCGAGTTCCCCCCGGATCTGCAGCCCCAGGTCGTGGAGGAAGCGAAGAAGAAGCCGTCTCAGAAGCGGCCGAAAGGGCAGCCGCCTCCAGGTAATAACGTTGCGGTTTCGCCGCCAATTGCTGAAATTGATAGTCAATTGGGGAAGAAGATCGAGGGAAATGGTGTAGCGGTTCAGGGGAAGAGTGATCTAGGGTTTCGGGAGGAGGAGAAGGGGAAGGAGAAGGATTGGAGTGAGGATGAGATCGAGCTCTTGAGGAAGCAGCTGGTGAAGCATCCGGCGGGGAAGCCGAGGCGGTGGGAGATAATCGCGGAGTCGTTCAACGGGGGTCACAGAGTGGAGAGTGTGATCAAGAAAGCGAAGGGATTGGCCGATAAGAAGTCGAGCGACAAGGACTCGTACGCGCAGTTCTTGAAGAACAGGAAGCCTCTGGACGAGAGGCTGAATGAGGGGGAGGATGGTAGTGGCAGCGGCGAGGTCAGGAGAGAGAGCGAATGGAGCAGCGCGGAAGATGTTGCGCTGCTCAATGCGTTGAAGGCATTTCCAAAGGATACGCCGATGAGGTGGGAGAAAATCGCGGCTGCTGTTCCGGGGAAGACGAAGGTGGATTGTGTCAAGAGGGTGTCGGAGCTGAAGAGGGATTTTCGGAGTTCGAAAGCCGCCAAAGAGGGACAGATGGAAGAATGAGGATCGGTAGGTTTCGATCAATTTTGACTTCGATTTACCATTGTTTGATTCAGCAGATTGAGTTCTTGACTGGTTTGTTGTAGCCAGATTAGAGGATCGAATAAGATAGTGATCATGAGCATACAGTCCTGTTGGAATTTCTATACACCATACACTCCCAATAAGATGGGCATGTTGTTTTGCCGCTAAATTATCCTCTTGTTATTGACCTTGTTTAGCTCTATGAGGTATTCTTGCATTTGCTGTTACAAGACATAGAAACTTGTATTGTATACGACAATTACGGTGGATCCGCTCGACTAAGTTGGACACCGACTTTTGAGGAATGAATGGCTATACTTAACACCTTAATATCTCCCACTGGGCACTGTGTGAAGGGACAAATTTTTTTGTCAAATGCTGTGTTCGTGTAGTTTGTTAGACCTTCAGTGCAATACCTAGTTTCACGTTCGAATGTATAGCTGCACTGGCAAGCTTTAGATGGAGAGAAGTAAATCTTTTTCTCTTCCATGCATCCCTCGAGCTCTTCACAAGCCACAGCGATGTGTTCTTTCATGAATCAGTACAAATCTCCAAAGGGTGACTTATCTGGATATCAGGTAGATTGAGATTGTCACTTTACAGATTTTCGTGGCATGACATGAACATTAACATGATGCCGTTTTAGGCTGTCAGACTCCAGAGTTTAGCCTGTTTCTTTCCCATGACGCCACCAGATTGACCGAATTAGTCTCTAGCTTGTAGCTCCAGCATAAAGGAGCTACCTTTCGGCTTTCACTTCGCTATGTTTCTCTCCTCCAATTTGGTCTCTTCTTTTTATTGTTGGACAGTGAACTCCTCCAATTCGGTCATATTCACTATTCTTCGTCCATTTATATTCCCTCTGCATGAGGGTCGAGTGCTCGAATCAGGGCACAGCTGTATCTGGTTGGACCATCTTCAGAAACCCTTGAGCTGAAGAGTAGTCTTTGTAGCTATATGACACTGCTGATGTTGATACTGCTCTCTTTTTTGTGTCATTCTCCTCCTAATTTTGTATGCTGTCTGCTTTTATCTTTCCCTCACAAGGATAACATTTAGGGGGTTTGGCCCCAAAGACTTGCCCCCTTTTAGGAATTCCTGCTTTTGACAGTGCAATGACTTCTCTCGAGTCCTCCTTTAAGGAATGGCTGCTGTTGACAGTGGCAATGACTTCTCTTGAGTCGCCGATATGCTGAAAATCGGGAGATGAACTTGATTTTTTATGTATTCACGCTCTTGGGAATGACAATGATGTAATTCCTACAGTATGTACGTCTCATTGCTTGAGAATTCTGGCCATACAGGCTTATGGATGAGACCGAGAGCTTGGGAGTTCCGATGACGATTGATTGGAACCTCTCTAAACTCGAGTACGCGTGTCAAAAAAATTCTCTTCAATGGTAACAAGGGGACTTCTATGATCCCTCCATAAACTTATTCCGCGGTCATAACTTATTATAGCCACATTATTTTTGTTCCTGTACAAAGTGTCTTGCAACATCAAAAGTTTTAAAACGTCATGACCGGAAAACCTTTCCATGGATTGAAAACAAGCTTATATCGAGGGAAAACGACTTTTTAATTTACTAAAAAGAAATTACCAAACAGATGAAAGAAAAATCGTTTCTTTTATCATGAAATTTTGAGCGAAGCAAACGCACCTCAAAGTGTCTCAACTTGGGTCAGCATCATTTCTCACGATGGAGGAGCTCAATGTCATGGGGCATAGCCATTACATACCCACGAATGAAGCAAGTGCTGAAAAATAAGTCAATACCTCGTGTCGGACGACACGTCTTATTGAGAACGAGATCGATTCATTCGACAATATCCATCAAACGCTTAAAAACACAAGCAGACACATTTTCTCTGCGCACAGGTGAAGCACTGTGGGTCATTTGGATGACCACAGATATAGCGACAATCCTCAGGCTTGTCGCAACTCGAGCCATCCACGGATAACTTGCACACACATATGCCTCCTCTGCAGATGGGAACAAACCCAGCATCGCACTGCTTAGGACCGCAATCCGTGTCAATCTGGCAACGCACATCCTCAGCATGCGAGACCACGAAACCTTAAAAGAAGGAGGAATCATTGGTATTGTAATAACTAGCGAGGGATCAGAGAAAAATGAATGAAAGGGGCCACCTACATGATGCAATCACCAGCAGAATCGCCAATGCACTGAGCTTCGTTGCACACTGTTCCATTTTTCCTAGGGTTTGTTTGCAGGTAGAGGATTGGGTTATGATGATTCTTGGAGACCGATATGGTTGTGTTTACACCAAAAAATGGCCAACTTGTCGACATGGTTCGTTTGTGCCAAAGATCATCAAGGGACACATGGCGGAGACTTGAGATAACGTGGAAGCAAATATCATCAAGTTGCCAACATAAGGGACACATGTCAGAGACATGTGTCATGTGTATATGTTTACACCCAAAAATGACCAATTTTTGGGTATTATTGACAAAACTGGTCACGACTTCATCAAGGAAATTTCAGTTCTGCGCTAGCTCGGGAAAATGGTCATAATTTCGTCTAGACAGATCGGATTGACTTGATTCCAATGCCAAAATAACGAAGACTCCTGGATCTACAACTTTTATGTTTCGAGTTTTCTCAGAAAATCACTGTAGAAGCTATCGAGGTTAAAGGAAGTCGACGGTCGTGACTTCGTCTCGTCGAGCGCGTCGATGTAATTTCAGTTCTGCGCTAGTTCGGGAAAATGGTCATAACTTCTTCGAGACAGATCGGATTGACCTGATTCCAAAGCCAAAAGAACGAAGACTACTGGATCTACAACTTTTATGTTTTGAATTTTCTCATAAAATCATTGTAGAGCTGTCAAAATTAAAAGGAAGTTGACAGTCGTGACTGGTCAGATTGCGGAAATTAATACACTTCAGTGAAGAAGTGCCAACTTGAAGGAATCGACGGTCGTGACTGGTCAGAATGCGGAAATTAATACACTTCAGTGAAGAAGTGCCAACTTGAAGGAATCAACAAAAAGTGGAGTCGATAACCTCGGATACAACTATCGAAGAAGTAACCGTCAACATAGTGGGTTGAAGAAACCGCCAACGTAGTGGAGTCGAATAAACCGTCAAGGTAGTCGACTCAACGTAACTGTTGGAAACCACTAAGGAGCATACATGTATATTTTGAGGAAACAGTTACTTGGAAGCATCATCATGAGGCAGTTATCACTTGTAGACAAGATCGTGGGACGGTTATCTTGAAAGCAGGATCATGGCATCACATGGACATGAAGGCAAGATTTTCGGAATGGAAGAACATGGGCACAATCGTTGAAAACCGCTAAAGAGCAGTTACAACACAACCATTATAAATATCACTGGCCATCTACTGGAGAGCTCACCACCAAAATCAAATAACATGTTATCTTTCAATTATTTTTACTTTCATGTACCGCACTTTATCTTTCCTTAGCTATAGTTTTTTGATTCGCGTCGTCGATTAAATTCTGGTGTGTATCTCTATCCCGGGTGTTGCGTCGTCGATAGAGGTGTCAAAATGGGTCTTAAACCCATATATGACCCATTTAAAAATAAATGGGTCATATATGGGTCACTTTAATTTTAAAGAGTCAAACTTAAATAGGTTTTAAATTTTAAAACTTAAAGATAAATGGGTCTAAATGGGTTGAGTTTGGAACCCATGTCCAACCCACCTACTAGACCCATCCACACACTCTCTCCCTCTTTACAAAAATGTTTTAAAAAAATTGAAATTTAATTATTTTTTTTCTCTTTTTCTTTTATTTTTTCTTTTTTCTTTTCTCTTCTTTCTTTTTCTTTTTTTTTTTATTCCGGCCGGTGGTCGGCCACGGCGACCGGCCACAGGGGCGGGACGACCTCGCCGGAGGCTGGCGAAGCTCGAGCTCGCCGGCCTCGGACGAGGCTCGAGCCTCGCCGATTTGGCGAGCCTCGAGCTCGCCCGATCCCGGCGAGGCTTCAGCCTCGCCTACCTGTGGCGAGGCTCCAGCCTCGCCAATCTGGCGAGACTCGAGCTCGCCGGCCTCAGGCGAGTTCGACCTCGCCGGATCTGGCGAGGTGGAGCCTCGCTCGAGGCTGGCGAGCTCGAGCTTCACCGGCCTCGGGCGAGGCCTCGGTCTCGCCAGATCGGCGAGAACGAGCTTCGCCGGCCTCCGGCGAGCTCGTCCTCGCTTGTGGTCGGTCGCCGGCCACGGCGGCCGGCGATCGGCCAAAAATAAAGGAAAAAGAAAAAATTAAAAATTCGATTTAAAAAATAAAAAAATATTAATTTTTTTTTATTTTCTTGGATAATGACTTTATGGAAAATATTTTTTAGAAATGTCGCATTTTTCGTAAAACAAACAGAACCTCAAATTTAAAAAAATTTATAAATTTTTTTCACTAGCTTTGTATTGCATAAAATGTTTTAGCAGTATAATTTTAAAAAAAAACCATAAAAAACAAGTATTCCTAGATTAGGTTAAATATAAAAGTGTTTTAGCAATATGGGTCGGGTCGGGTATGGGTCGAGATATTTACACTATGAATAAATGGGTCATAAACGGGTTAATGGGTCAATTTGGGTCGGACCATTTATGACCCGACCCAAACCCGACCCGACCCACCCATTTAACAGGTCTAGTCGTCGATTAAATTCCGGCGATACATCTTTGTGTACGTGTGTGGCTGTATTTTCAAGCTTTGTCGTTGATTAAATTCCGGCACGGTTTGTACGTACAGTCCGGTTCGAAGTTCGAAGTAAAAGTTCGTAGTTTTTTCTTGTCTTCCTGGATATTTCCTCTCCGGAGTCGCCACGGAACCCGGTCTCCTCTCATTAAGAATTGAAGAACTACGTTCGGTGAATTATATTTCGTTGCGGGAGCATTTCCGGCGAAACAGGTTGACAGTGATACGTGCCGTGTCCAGCCTTGAACATGGGTTCTATATAGATGCCTCAGAGTTTTGGTATTTTCTGGATTTTGAGGAAATGCAAGATTCAAAAATGGAAGGTGTAGTTATTACGTTGCTAAAGCTACGGATTCACCTTCCAATCCTGCTAGTATTACTGGTTCGACAATATTTAGTTGCAGTAGTTCAGATCGACACTATATCCAGACTTTTTTCTATCAGAACACATATGCAATTGCTTTGCGCATGTATTTTAA